GGGATATGGTATGGGTATTGGTGGGTGTAAGAGGTTGTGTCCCGCGGCCAACGGGGCATAGCTTGGTTACACTGGTTTCCCTGTTGTGTCGGTTAAGGATCGGCCGTTGCATTGGATTCTAGTTAGGTCACAAACTTATTATCCTGAGCACATACTTGTTTATCAGAGTAGGGAAGGGTCGTTGCTCTCTTGTTGTGGGTTTCGGCTCTTTTTGGGTCGACTGATTGGAGGCGGGGATGGTGGAGGTCTAAGCACCACATGAGTCCGGGACTCAGGTGTGGGGGCTTGGAGTCTAAGTTTAGACGGGGACCTGGACCCTTTGACAGGAGAGTGATGGGTTGGTCCTACTTGTGCCTCGGGTACAAGCGAGGCGTGTGTTTCAGGGTACCTAGCTAGGCACATTAATTTGCGAATCACCGGGTAATCCAATACGACTTGTCTACAATCTAGCACCGTAGTAAGAACTGGAAGATGAAAGATGGTGAAATAGATCTGTTTGCTCAACTCTTGCTTGAAAGTAGAATAGGTGCTTTCCTAGAATGGTTAGATAATAAACTAATCATGACTGCTAATAAGAAACATACATAAGGGTTCACTACTAGTATTGCTTTCCACAAAAAGGAAACCTAGCTAACCATAAAGCTTATTATATCCTTTGGAGTCAGGAAATTATTCCCAGTAGTCGGGTAAGTCTTGCGAGTACATTATGTACTCAGGGTTTATTTACCCTTATTACAGGTGCAGCTTGAGGAGTAGCTGTTGTGTGAAGGATTCTTTTGGTGGGCACAGATGGATCCTTGTATATTATCGATAGACGTTTTTTGTAATTCCGCTATTTAAATTCCGCACTCTGAACTTGATACTATAATAATGTATTTCTAAGAATCCTGGTTGTATGAAATGGACTAAGTACTATAAACTCGTTCTCATTATTGGATCCTGGAGAAAAAACGTGGATTATTTGAGTTCTCCCTTGGGGTGTGCTCGATGGAATCCGCCCGATGTAGCTTGCTTTCAGGGTGCTTAGTGTCTGGTGGAAGACAAGTGCCTCCGAAGGTGTGTTATTTCGGGCGGTTCTACCACATCTCTTGACTCTCAAGGATATGTAGGGGGCTATTTGGCTATCTATTTAGTTGTTTTTGTAAAGAAGCATTACTAATAGTGCATCCTGGTATTCAAGGTTTTAGCAGTCACATCAAGTTTGTTACTTAACCACTCTAGGTAAGCACATGAACTACTTTCAAGCATGTGGTAAGCAATTAGAATATATTTCATCATCCGGCATAAGCCTCATCATCAACTCCATGTTCTAGTTGCATTAACTACGATAGTAGTGGTGCGACAAGTGGTATCCATATCCGAGGAGGGCGGTGATTGTAATCGATGTATATCCAGTTGGGCAATCCCAAACACACGCCTGTACTTCTCTCTAAAGAGCATGTACAAGGCAGCCATTCCAATCGTATGACCAAGGCCCAAAATGACCTAACCACCCTAGGGAACCCACCCTAGGAGGCCCCATCCCGGACAGGTTTCCCCTTCCTAAGTTTGGTCCATGGACATTCCCCGTCCTAAAACAGCCACTAAATGGCCAGCGAAACACTCCGGTCAATGTTTTGCGCACCTTAGTCGTAAGAAAGTACTAAGCTTCACGGTCAACTATAACTTAGGCCCCTATTATGTGTTTGGTACCTTCAAGCTTGTCACATCACTACCAACGGTATGGTCCTTAACCGACACTGGCGGGAAAATGGGCACCAAGAGCCCGGCTCTGCGGCACTCACCAACCATTCAGAAAAACCATTTTCCACTTCCCGCCCAGTCTCCAATTATTATCCAGCATGCTCAAGTCCGTGTGATAGTAGTAACAGTATAACCATCACCTATTTCTCGCGAGTGACCGTCCATCACTCGACTTCTACCGTAAGCCCTATAGCATGGCATACTACATGATTTCTGTCATATTAGTGGGACTCATATGATAAAATATTTGTGCAGGTGGGTTTCAAGCAACTCCTACAACTTAATGCACAAACAACATATTAATAAGTGTTGGAAAAATAGGGGTTATGCACCGGGGCTTGCCTGGGTAAACATGTACTCTACTAAGTTAGTATTCTTCCATCTTCGGGACATGATCTGACCATCTCCATCTTCTAGACTGGTCATGAATAGACCATCTTCCCGCTTGACGTCTATATCCTTCAGTTGATCCATCGATTCATCATTGTTCCTAAATGATATGCATGAATGCAATGCATGTTTAAGTTAAACAAGTATAACAAGACATTTACAAACACTACAAGAGAAGCAACACATCATCACGGTGAAGGGTAACTAAACGTTGGAGGTTCGACTCCCATCCCCTCCTAGTGACTTACTTGCGAGTTACTATTATCACACAAGCGAGTAAAACAACCATTTGCATTTTAAACATACAAGTGAAAGCTTATCATAATATGCCAAGCACACTTCTACTTACTAAACACACTTTGCCTATACATCATGTAAAACAAGTTGTATATACAAACGTATATTAACCCTAATCTAAACACCGAACATATATAAAAGCTTAAATAATTATAACCAAGGAATAAAATGGTGGCGCACCAAACATCTCTTTTGGACATGAAAAATTTATGGGTGATACATCTTAACTAAACATAACTACTGCATAAATTTCATAATCTTGGGATAAGAAAATTATTTACTAGCAGTTAACTAAGATTTAAAAGTAATAAAGGCATGTGACACATGATAAATCAATAATTTAGTAAATAAACATCCATTGGACATGAAATTTTTACCACAGCACAAACATGCAACAAGTAACCTACCATAAAAATTTCACAGCAACTGGATTCCTATAACAGGAGATATGAATTTAGCATTAAAAGGCATAGGCAAATATTTATAGCAAAACTTTTGTACTAAAACATGTCATATTATGTATCTACTGTATAGATCTAGTTGTGTGGAGTGTAACAAAACTAGTTTGACATTTTTAGAATTTTTCTATGATTTACTACGATTTATTAAAGTTTCTGCCTATTTATGAATAAAAGAAATAGATAACAGAAAAAGAAAACACATTTTGCGTCGGGGACCCTGGAAGTTTTCCGAAATCAAAATAAGTCCACCCACCTTTTGTTTGTCTCTTGCATTTTTACAATAGGAACCCTAGAAAATCTTCTATTCTCACCCTAGGGTCCTTCTCTTCTTCTTCCTTACGGAAACGGAGAAGAGGAGGTGCTCGGGGCTGCCGATTTCGGCCGCGGGGCGGCTTGCCGGCACTGAGGGCCAGTGGCACGGCTGCGCGGGCAAGGCGGCAGCCTACCGCACCCACGCCTGGCCCTAGCCCGGCCAACAACAGCCCATGGTGGCCATGCCATGGCAGCTGGTGGCTGCCCGGTGGTCACAACAGGCGACAGCGACGCAGTAGGGCAAGGCGGCCGGTGAAAGTGGCTGCGCGGCACCGAACGGCCACGGCATGCTCACAGCTAGGCTGCTCCCGTGCCAAGGTAGGGCGCAGTGGCCTGGCCGCGTGCACGCGCGGCGGTGGTGGTTCGAGCAGGGGCCACGGAAGCTCTCGGCGATGCGGCTGCGGCGTGCGCGCATGGAGGAACAGCGGGGAGCGAGGCGGAGGCGGTGGTACCAGCAGTCGAGCGTGGGGAGGGACAGAGCGGCAAGAATGGTGGTGGTAAGCTCGAGCTCCATGGTGACCATGGTAGCCCGAACCGAGCGGAAATGAATGAGAGAAGGAGACGTCGAGAGAGATAGCGCAGAGTGGGAGGAAGGAGCCCGGGGCTATGTAGAAGGCAAGGCGAGGAGCAACGCGGCGTGGGTGGGGGCACGGGCAAGGCGTGGGCAGCCATGGGCGCGAACAGGGTGCGACATGGGCGCGACTAGGGTCAGGGCGTGGGCGACGATAGAACCATGTGCCTCTCTTGGACCCACTTTTTTGGCATATTCTAGCCAGATTCGTCGTCCGCCACTGTAGCAAAATATCTTCATCACCCTTCAGTTGTCAACTCATATTAAGGAACTATGGTCATTAGCACAATGGATTAGCTAGTAATTAGGGCCGAAATTAGCAGTGTTAGCGAAAACACTAAGAAACTCTCCTAGGAAACAATATTTTATTCAAACTTTGAAGCACTAATAACCTATCAAACATGCAACTGAGCACCAACAAGCACTCCACCACAAAGTTCATAACTTGTACTAAGTTTTTTACACGGACATATTTCAGAGTTTATTAATAAATTATTTATTTATTCGGCCTTCAACAAGCTATCAAGCAATTAACACCAATTAAGGTTTTTGACATTTTTAAGCATTTTCTCCATATCTTTCCAACATGAACCCTAAGCAACTTTTGTTCACTAACTCATTTAGACGTGTTTAAGCACAAAAACAAAGTTAGTTGACATCACACATGTTGATTATATTCACAAAGGTGATTTAAACAAACATGTATCGTATCATTTCATGCAAGAATTTATCACCAAGCATAGAAAACTTATTTAGTAGGTTTTATTAAGCCTTAAACTATTGTTAAATAGACACGTAACACTAGGGTGTTCCAGCTCCTGGGTCCCACTGGACTGGTTAGTAAGGGGTTAGTTGTGAATGCCGTATTCGGTTTTGTTCGGCGTTGCGTCGGTGGAATCAGGGCGGTTATTAAGCCCTTGTAACTGAACTCTGAAAGGTTATCGAATAGAACTGAACTCCTGCCCTGAATTCTATTCCCCATCTCAACTCTGTTCTTCTGAACCCATCCCCATTCATGCTCTTTCCTGTCTAAACTCCAAATCCAATCCAGCTACCCGTTGTGTTATGATCGGAACACAACAAATGGTATTAGAGCCGCTGCATCGATTTACCTTGATCGCGTTTGTAATCCCCGTTGGCGGAACTCGCTGTTCTTCATTTTGGGATTCATCGAAGATTTGATCAGGCTAGCACTAAAGCGTGGACCAAGCAAGTTGCAGCAGGATATGGCGAAGAACGTGGAGGAATTGGCGGTGAAGTTTGAACTGATGATGAAGCAATTCTCGGGGTTTCAGAACATGATGAAGGATTCCCTAGATTCGCTGAACGCCATGGGTTCATGGCAGATCAGCGCCGACAAGGTGTTCAGCGAATTGTGTGAGAAGGCTAAGGGTACAACGCCCACCCTGGAAGCTGTCTAGAAGTAGGTTGATCTCGCCATGATGCGGATGGATTCGATCAAATCGCGGCTGACGATGGCTCCCACAAGCTCTCAACATCATCCTGGTCCAAAGATCTTGGATTTCAACCTAGCTTCGGGTTCATCCTCAAGCTCTCCAACTAAGGACGGGGAGCAGCCCATGGGGCCCGGCGAACACTGCGGCGACGTCCTCGGACCTCGGCCGCAGGACATCTATAAGGGTATGTTTCCCCTCCCAAACCTGCACCAATTGTTCTCCATGATGATCCGACTATCATGAACTGCCGTTCCCCTCCCTTCCCCAAAATGGAATTTCTGAAGTTTGACGGTGATTCTCCTCGGTTTTGGCGTGATCAATGTGAGGTATTCTTTGAGGTGTATGCTATTCATCTTTCGCTCAAGACGCGGTTCGCTACACTCAACTTCAAAGGGGTGGTAGCTACTTGGCTATAGACGGTGCAGAGGAAGGGGAGGATCATGGAGTGGTCTCGGCTTTGTGATTTGGTCATGGAGAAGTTTGATAAGAATTAGTACTAGATTCTATTATAGCAATTCGATGCTCTTAAGTAGAAAGGGTCGGTTCTGGAATATCAGACTACATTTGAGAAAATTACACAGGGACTATTGCTCTACAATGATGGTTATGATGATACATATTTCATGAATCGGTTCGTTGCTAGGTTGAAAGAGGAGATTTGTTTTGTAATTGCCCTGCATAGGCCGAAGGATGTTGACACTGCCAGTGCTTTGGCTTTGATTCAGGAGGAAGAGCTAGCACAGTCAAGAATTCGTTCTGGACCAAAGGAATTTGCTAGAGGGGCTTGGAGAGCAGGTGCTGACAAACCCAGAGGGGGTGAGATGGATAAGGGCAAGCAAGATGTATAGAAAGTGGAATCTGAAGACACGTTATCAGCACTGAAAGAATTTAGAAGGAAGAATGGCTTGTGATTCAAGTGTGGCAACAAGTGGGCTCCAGGCCACAAGTGTCCTCAACAGGTACCTTTGCATGTCATTGAGGAGATTTTTTATGCTCTGGAAGTAATGGATGATTCTAAGGCATCTAATGTAGCTGAGGAAGTGATTGAGGAGACAGTAATGGTTGTTGGGTAGGATGTGAGCAGTAGTTCTGTCAGACATCGAACTCTAAAACTTTGTGGTAGAATTGGTAAATCTGATGTTCTCATCTTAGTGGATTCTGGTAGTGTGGACACATTTGTCAGTTCTCAGTTCATTGATAGGCTGAGACTACCCCTCTCTGATTGTACATCTACTCAATATGTTGCTGCTGATGAGGACCCATGATCTGTTCTCAGCAAGTCAAAAATTTGCAATGGATTGTGCAGGGTCATTCTTTCATCTCTACTGTTGGGGTGCTGCCATTGAAATGTTTTGACATGATTTTGGGGGAGGACTGGTTGGAATCTTGTAGCCCTATGTGGATTCATTGGGCTAAAATGGTTATGAGGTTTACTCATCAAGGGACAAGAATTTAGTTGTAGGGTCTGTTGCAAGACTCCAATTAGTGTGCACAGATTTTTGTTGATAGTCTATAGGGATTGATTAATCAGTAGAATGTTACCTGTTGTCTGCAGCTGAAGCTAGCAAACTTGGCTTCATTGTCAGCAGATGAGCCTGAACAAATATGCTATGTAAATGATGCTGAGCTTGATAAGATTCCAGAAGACTTGCAGCAGCTGTTGCTTACTTTCTATTCCAAGCTATTTCAGGAGCCTACAACATTGCCACCTTAGAGGTAATTTGATCATGCAATCCAACTGATTCCTGGAGTTGTGCCTGTGAATATAAGGCCTTATAAGTATTCCCCAACTTAGAAGGATGAGATTGAGAGACAATTGGTTGACATGCTTATAAGAAAAATGGACCCTAGGCCCATTTACTTTGGATTTTGGTGTTTGATGACCAACACACCCAAATTGGACTAATGAATTTGCAAGTAATTGTTTTGTAGTTCAATAGGGTGCAAGATATGACTAGGACGAAGGCGGCATGATGATCCCACGATCAACACCATAAGCAAGACCCTAGAAGCATAAGAGAAGACCCAAGATATCAAGCAAAGTCCAAGCACGAAGATGGGAACCAAGCCGGACGCAAGATCGCAAAAAAACGAGCTCGGCAGAGGTGACCGGATGCGGCCCTATGAGGACCAGACATGTCCGATCAGTTGCTCAGCAACAGCAGACGTAAGCAGCAGTGACCGGACGCTAAGCGAGGCGTGACCAGACGCACAGACTTCACTGTTCATCATCGCGGCAACAACTCAGTGAGGACCGTACGCAGCGGCACTGGATGACCGGATGCACAAAGTGCAGCATCCAATCATGTCTAGAGAGGTTCTAGAGCGGCGCAATTGTGACCGAATGCGTCCGGTCAATGATGACCGGACTCGGCAGTGCGTCTGATCTCTACGCACGCGCTCAATGGTCAGGATGACCGGACGCATCCGGTCAGGACGATAGCAGCGTCCGGTCAGTAGCAAAAAGCTGGGTTTCGTCTCCAACGGCTACTTTCTCTACGTGGCTTATAAATAGACCTCCCAACCAGCCATTTGAGATGTGGAGAGTTGAGGAAACATACCAAGGGTGTTGATACACCATTTTAGTGATCTCCACTTGCATAGTGCTTAGTGATTCATTAGGTGATTAGCGTAGGTGCTTTGCGAAGTTCTTAGGTTGATTAGACCACCGCTTATGCGCTTGCTCTAGGTTTAGGCCTAGTGTTTAGTGAGGTTTGCATACCTCTTATCACTCGGTGCTTGCGCATACCAATGTTGTACATTGAAGGGGCTTATAGTCTTGCGAGATCACACCAACCATGTTTGTGGTGTGGCCACCACCGTGTACCGAAGGGAACAAGGCCTGCGACGGTTCGGCCTGAAGCTTGATAGTGATGACGGCGGGGAGCGGTCCGGGAGAGGCTTGCCAGAGGCACACTGGAAACCCACTTGCGCATGGGGAAGTCCCGAGGCTATCCACTGAGTTACCCGACTGGAAGCTTGGCCCTTGCATGGGATTCCTTGCGAGGGGCTCCAACAAGGACTAGGGGAAAGCTTGCGCGCTTCTCGATACCTCGGTAAAAATACCGGAGTCGTCGACGGGAGTTTGCATATCTCTACCTTACTTTTTAGCTTCTGCATTTACATTGCAATCTTGGTGTGTGCTTTACTTTCCTAGCTTAGTGATAGGCTAGTTGATAGGTTTGGAACCTAGGTTGCATAACTCCTTTTTGTGGTAGAGATAGCAACACACTAGCTAAACCGTAGTTGCACATCTAGATAGTTTATCTTTTGCATAGGTTTTTGCTAAGGATAGAAAGGTGGCCATAGTTTAGAGTTAAAGTTTTTAAGTTGCCTAATTCACTCCCCCCCTCTTAGGCGTCACGGTCCCTTTCAAGTGGTATCAGAGTCAGGTTGGCTCAATTTAGACCTTTGGCTTCACCGCCGTTGAGCCGACGCTATTTAGAGTGGTTGGGATGGATACCTGTAGGCCTCCGCACTTTGATGGCACTAACTTCCCCTACTATAAAGCTAGAATGGCTTGTCACCTTGAGACGGTAGATTTGGGTGTTTGGAGTCACTCGTGATGGGATGAAACCCATTAAGAATCCCGATAAACCCACAAAGAGTGAAGAAACATAAATTTATTTCAATGCTAGAGCTAAAAATTGCTTGTTTGAATCTTTTAGCATGGATGTGTTTAACCAAGTGTTCACTTTAAATACAGCGCATGAAATTTGGTTAAAACTCCAAGAGCTCCATGGCGGCACAACTAATGTTCGTGAGCAAAAACATTGTGTAGCTAAACAAAATTATGATTCCTTTAAAATGAATGATGATGAGCTTGTTCGTGATATGTATTCTCGTTTGAATCTAATTATCAATGAGCTCCATTGAATAGGATTAACGAAGCAAGATGATGCAGACATCGTGAGGAAGATCATGTCCGTGCTACCACAAAAGAAATATGCAAGCATCATCACCATCCTTCACAACATGGAGAACTTGAGCACCATGACCCCGGCCATAGTCATTGGCAAGATAGTGGCATTTGAAATGTCACGGAAGATGGGTCAAGAAGAAGCCTCGTCATCAAGCAAAGGCAAAGCTCTCGCATGTAGTGAGAAAAAGAAGATGAAGGGCAAGCAAGTTGAGACAAGCTCAAGCTCCTCAAGTGAAGATGAATAAGAAGATGAGGATGATGATGATGATGATGAAGATTCAAGTGATGATGATCAATATTCCTCCTCTACCTCCGACCTTGATGAAGAATCAATCAAACTTATCAACAAGGTGGAGAAGATGATTCAAAGGCTCAATGTCAAGGGTGTGCCTATCCAAATTCAAGATTTCATCTTCACCAATCAAAGAAATGAGCAAAGAAAGAAAGGATGTTATGGATGCGGCGAGTTGGGGCACTTTGTGAAAGTTTGTCCAAACAAGCCCACACCCAAGACAAAGAAGAAGGCGTGCAAGGACAAAGCCCTCATATCAATAAGGTCATGGGATGATTCTTCAAGTGAAGAAGAAGACCATCACAAGAGGCAAGGCCACAAGCACTCATCATCAAGCTCTTCTCGTGTGTGCCTTATGGCATGAGGTAACGAAAGCTCATCCTCTAGTGAGAGTGATAGTGATGATGAAATGCCTTATCTTAATGAACTTGTGCAAAAAAAACTTAAATATGCTAAGTCTTGCACTAGCCAACAAAAGAAGCTAAAAATGTTGCAAGAAAAGCTAGATAGTTCACAAGAAGTATATAAAACCTTGCTTGAACAATATGAGACATTTGCTAATCTCAATGTTGAACTATCTACTAAAATTGAGCAACTTGAGGCTAGTGCAACAACAAATGCATGCACAATCAATGATGAACAACTTGTAAAGAAAAATTAAAAGAAAAGTTAGCTAGCTCACAAGATGCTTATAAAAGTTTGCTTGCTAAAATGGAAACCATGTGCAAACATTGTGATTGACTAATAAAGTTGCTAATCTTGAAGCCATCGGTACAACCCTCATCAAGGCACCTAAAAAGAAAAGTTCTATCTTTGACATGCCTAAAAAGGATGCCTCTACTTCTTGTAATGATTTATGTTTAGACTCACCCTTGTGCAACCAAGTTTGTGTTGAGAAAGTTGTTGTAGATACATGCACACAAGAGGTCACAATGGAGAATGAGCAACTCAAGCAAGAAGTGGCTCGCCTTACCAAGGACTTGACTCAAGTAAAAGGCAAAATGGAGCAAGCCTAACATCATCAAGATAACACCGTTAAGGGAGTGAAGAAGCTTGATGAAGGATAAACCATGGTTTGCCACGTGCCACAAGGAAGGCCACAAGTCCTATGAGTGCAAGGTGAAGAATGGGGGAGGAGCTAAGAAGAAAGAGATAAACAAAAAGGAAACAAGCAAGCTCTCCAACACCTACACCAACAAGGTGGACAAAAAGGCCTCCACACCTTATCTCTCTTGAAGAAGAAAAATGACAAGATGGTGGCCATCAAGGTGAACAAGCAAGCCAACAATGGGGCCAAATGCATTTGGGTGTCAAAGGAGATCATTTCCAACATGAAGAGCACCAAGAAGGTTTGGATCCTAAAAGGGAAGTGAGAAGCCCGATGGACTTCGGGGAATTTGGAGACTTGACAAAGTATGGATGCATTTCATGGGGTGCATCATTATGGACAAGGTAATTGCCAAGTGGGTTAGTGAATACTATGGACCCAAATTCCCCTTCCCATGTTATGTAACTAGATTTAATTTCTTGCAATTTCAATTAGCATCTAGTTCCTTTTCATGCCTAGGTTTGCATTTGCATGTTTAATCTTTTGTCTTGCATACACTAGGTATATCTTATGGTAGGCTTGCTCG